CTGAAAGCCCCCCGGTGTATAGAAGCAAAGACTGTGGGTGAGGAATCACTTTTTTGTTAGATGTAAAAAAAACCCCACCAAACTCAACTTTTGGGCATTCAAGCATTTTTTCAGATCAGGGAGACAAACCTGACGCCAGGTCCCCATCGCTGGTGTTGGTGCCTCACGTTAGGACCTTCCCAGTGTGTGACCATCTCTGCTCCCAGCGCGTGTGTCCAGCCCTCCGCGTAGTCAGGCTGTGAGCTCCCACATCCCACCTGCCAGCTTCTGTGGGTTCCTGTCTTTCCACTTTTAGGTATTTGCAATGTATAGATTTGAACGTTACTATATATGTGTGCTGGGAGCAGGTGGAGGGCCAGATATGTATAGAGTGTGATGTGTTCAAATGCGTCTTGCTGAAGTGAGCTTGGGAAAATTATGTTGGAATTATAGTTAGATGCTGTATAAATCGTAACTGCATGTGAAGCCCTCCAAATCCCATGCATGTGTCTAACATTGAATATATGCATTCTCATATGCAAATACATTTTTATGCAGCTTTTTCTTTTTTTTTTGGTTAAAAAAGTTAAAAACTCAGTTGAACTCTGACCAGGACAAGGGATTTGTGCCTTAAGTCGCTTGCAGTGAAAATTTCAACAACCCATGTACATTCATGCAAAGCAGTGTCGGGACAGGGGGGAAGTCTATCAAAGTGTGCAGCACGAGCGGTGCCTGGGGAGGGCTGTGGGGGGCTGTGCCCGGTTTCCTGAGGCTCTGTACCGTGTTTCCCCAGGCCTCCCAGGGCCCCCTGCACGCCGTAGCTGCTGTTTGGTGCAATACATGTGGCACCAAGGGCTGGGGACCGCTGGTGGGGCTCTACATGGGGACTTCAGCCAGTGCCTGACCTGTGGGTTTTCCTCTCCCCACATCCTGCCCCTCTCCCCCTCCTCCTCCTCAGCTCCCCAGAGAGACGCTGGTTGGGCACGTGCAGAGAAGTGGGCTTGGTGAAGCACCCCAAAACACCCCACCCGACTCCTGACACGAGTGGCATGAACTTGGAGCCGGGCGAGTGCGGGATGAACTCGGTGAGCTGCGGCAACGGGAAACTCCGCCAGTGGCTGATCGACCAGATAGACAGCGGCAAGTACCCGGGGCTGGTGTGGGAGAACGACGAGAAGAGCATCTTCCGCATCCCTTGGAAGCACGCCGGCAAGCAGGACTACAACCGCGAGGAGGATGCTGCCCTCTTCAAGGTAGGGCTCAGCCCGGGGTCGGGTGGTGGGACACAGCTGGGCAGGAGGAGTGTCCGGAGGCTCTGCGGTGGCCCCTTGCCATCTCGTCCTTAGGCTGGCTCTGGGGGGTGCCCACTGCTGGTGGCCCTGGCTGTGCCCTATTGTCCTCTGGGTTTGCGAGATGGGACCTCCTGCCCACTTCTCTCCGTGGAAGTAAATGCTTGTGGAAGCGCGATACATCTATTTTCACATTCATCTTGGATCATATTCTCCCTTTACTTGTGCCTGCTAAATTGTTTTTTCTACCTTACCATGGTGCTTTTTTTTTCAGCCTAAACCTGTAGAGAGTAAATTCATGCACACAGAAGCATGCATATGTATGCTGCTTCAGGCATTGTGAACTTGTGTCTTGTGGTTGATTCTTTTTTTTTTTTCTTTTTTTTTTTTCTTCCCCTCCTTCTTGTTCTTTTGATTATCTGAAATATTTCCAGGCTTGGGCTCTTTTTAAAGGAAAGTTCAGAGAGGGCATTGATAAACCAGATCCCCCTACCTGGAAGACAAGATTAAGGTGTGCTTTGAACAAGAGCAATGACTTTGAAGAACTGGTGGAGAGAAGCCAGCTGGACATCTCAGATCCCTATAAAGTGTACAGAATAGTGCCGGAAGGAGCTAAAAAAGGTAAAACATCTCAAATTCCCTGTGTAACAGAGTGCGAATATGTCTCATGGTAAGCATATGAGGACCGAAGGGTGCTTTTCTGGAATGGCCCTGCAGTCTTTTTTAAGTCTTTTGTGGAGCCAAAACGCAGGGCTCCAGTGCAGCTTGTCCTGATGACTTAAGAGGCTGCATCTGTGAGAGGACTTGCTGGTGTTTGAGCTGGAGCGATGAAAGGGAGCCCTCGCAGAGGATGCAGACAGGTGCCCTGCGCATCGCTGGAGGAATTGCTCTTTTAGCTGGAGCCTCCCTGCCAGTTCTGTGTAGCAAGAGCCAAGCAAGCAGCTCAAGGGACAAACAAACAAACAAAAAATTAAAAAATAACAATAATTGCTTACTGGATCTAGGTTTTGAGTACAGGGAAGAGCAGAAGTGTTTTGAGCCGGACGGTAGGTGACTGCGGTGCAGGGAGGAGCTGGGAGGGAGAGATGGCCAGCCTGGGCAGGGGCTGGGAGCAGCGTCACCTCTCACCAAGAAGCACCTGGTACCAGGCAGAGCCCGGGGAGGGCATTGTGGCAAACGGGGTATAGGGGGGCAGCGCTTTCCTGGGGGACACTGGGGATCCCAAGCAGGACGAACTGCCTGCACGGGAGGGCTGGGAATCCTGTCCCGATCACGTGCTGAAGGGTGTTTTAGTCTTCTGCTTGTTCAAAGGCAAGTTGTATGGATTTGTCTTCAGTGTGCCAACTTCAGATTTCCTTAAGCTGTCATTGATGTCATTTATTTTCATCTGGTGAATGTAGGTGCGAAACAGATCAGCATGGAGGAGCAACCATTAATGATGAACCATCCTTTTCCAATAACGTCTCCTTACACTTCGCTACCGTCTCAGGTGTGACATTAGTTATGCATTTTGCTTGATTCTTGTACGTTGAGCAGCATTGTTTCTGTGCTATGTGCTATGTCTGTCTTTGCTGGCATGGCTTTCTAGTTCTCTTTGGGAAGAAGCTTTATTATGAAAACTGAGAAATCAAGAAGCAACTTTTCTAATGTCATATGAGGCCACAGGGCAATTGATTTCCCTTGGTGTTGTTTATTCCTGAGTAATAGCTCTTTTCTGTTGGGTGATAGATATTAGCGTGCTGCCCTTCTGTTGATGCCAGAATGTAAGCACCCAACGAAGCCTTGCTCTTCCAAGCAGACATTTACCAGCAATGCTTTGACTGCCTTTTGTTATCCCACCCTGCGTATTATTTACACCAGTGGCGAGAAGTTCATTTGAAAGCCTCATTGGTGGTGGTGGCGAAGTGCCATTCGCATAGCCTGGGCAATGCTTAGACCTCCATGGGCTTTGGCAGAGAAAATCAAGGAGCTGAGATGTGAAAGCTGAGGCAATGCATAGCATTAGTGTTGACAGCTGCTGAGTAAAAAAAGAGTATCTTGTTAAAATTGAATAGGTACCGAACTACATGGTGCCCCACGAACGGAACTGGAGGGAGTTTGCCCCGGAGCAGCCGCATCCCGACATCCCCTACCAGTGCGCCAGCGTCCCCTTTGCAGCTCGCAGTCATCACTGGCAAGGGCCAGGCTGTGAAAATGGTAAGACACTCCTGTTTGGGGTTGCTGGCTGAGGTTGGTCACCTAGGGAGACCAGGGATTTCAGGTTTCTTGGAATTAATGGAAAGGCTGGGCTCCCTTCTAAGAGATCTATGGGATCCGTGGCAAGAGATTTTGTCCTGGCTCTTGCTTTCAGTGCCGCCGTACGTGCGAGGTGTGAGCTACACAGTCCTCCGAGTTGATAAGTCAGCCCCTGAATGTCCTCAGCTGTCTCGAAAGCCCTGAGCAATAAGAAGGCAACCACCACCCCCCCAAAAACCCAAATGGGAACATGTGTTCTTTAGCTCTGCTTTCTGGTTTTGGACCTTCTGAGGCACACATCAGCGAGGTTTTTCCCTCCAGCCCTGTGGATTAGAATGACATTATTCTCCCGAGGGGAAAGCTGAAATTATTACTTTATTTTAGTGCAGTGGCAATGGGACAACTTGTCATGGCTCGAGTCTCTCTTGGGGCTGGTACAGCAGAAGCAGAATAAAGGGACGTTCCCTTCCCTGAAGATCTCACAGTACCGGAGCCTGACATAATCATGACTTTCCAAGCTTTGCATCCTTAAGAAAAAGCCCAAATTGTGAAAACTGGCAACTCTGAAGCCTGCAGGGGATAAAACATAAGAGAAAGGGAACCGTGTGCCATAGAACCTTGCAGGATAGCTCATCTGGGGATGCAGGCATTTGCTTCGAGAGGAGAAGCAGCTGGTTCAGAAGGGCAGGAGAGGATGAGAAGCGAGAAAGGACTTCTTAGAGCAGATACTACATTTTCAGACACATCTCTAGAGGTTTTGGTGCAGATGAATCTTTGAGTCTGATAAAAAGTAAATGCTCAGTGCACTGCAGCTTTTTCTGGCAGCATATTGGAATTTTTAGGCAGAATCCTTTGCTTTTAGTTGAGCTATTTGCTAATAAAAAAATCCAGGTAGCAAGCTGAATGCACTCTGGCCTGAAGTCTGTCCTCTGCAACAGTTAAACACACGTTTGGACACTTTGCTATTTGGAGGCAGTTGTTAGTGGCTAGTATTGGGTTTCTCACTGGGCTCTAAAATGTGTCAAGATATGTGGGTGGTTTGTATCCGCGTGGCTCCAGCTCCTGATCATAGTGGGTTCTGCCACGGGGAAAGGTAACGTGTGCTTGTAATGCAAGTCACACATTATCCTCTGAAGACTTTTATTGGCATTAAGAATAGAGCAAAACATCAATTGCCTGTGTTACAATCCACTTACTGAAAGGCATCTCTTGGAACGGTATAATAGTAGTCCAGGTAATAAAACCCTAATAATGTCCTGCTGCACAATTATTTTATCTACTTTTTTTTTAACCTTCAGTGTTAATTCCAACTTTATTGTTATACCTGTCTTTAGTAAAATTCCTTGTACGACGTGGATTGTTATATGCCGGCAACTTTTAGGAGTGCCACAGTCTAGTTAAAAATGTAAATTATTTCTGTAATAGAATTACACGTTAGCTAAGGAAAAAGGACTAGAGGGAATACTGAAAGGCTACAGGAGTATTTCAGGTAGACCCATCTAATGTTGGGTGAAATTGGTAGGGTTGGCATACCTGGAAAAAATTGGCAAATGGGACGTTTTTAAGAAGGAGGGGGAAGAGAGGGAGTTCCTGGTGGGCCCCAGAAAAACAATTTTGTATCACTGTGATCTCTGCTTGAGCTTTTCTTTTAGAACGTAGGCAGCTGTCACTGACTTTTATTTGTGAAAACAGGTTGTCAGGTGACAGGAACCTTTTATGCTTGTGCCCCTCCTGAGTCGCAGACTCCTGGCATCCCGATTGAGCCAAGCATAAGGTCTGGTGAAGCCCTCGCTCTGTCAGGTAAGGTCCATAACCCTCCCCAGGCTTTCTAGGGATCTTGACAGGAGACTCCCACTTCTGACTTGCCTTAGCACCTTTTCTGGTGAAAAGAAAAAAGAAGAAGAAAAGAAAAAGAAACCTCTGTAATGAATTAATTTGGTGTATGGGCTTAAGCCTCTGGTAGGATGCTTAAGTACTTGTAGCCCCAGCTCTGAGGGATGGAGGTGGTTAAAATTAATGGAAGTGCTTTGCTGGCTCACGGTGTTAGTGCTGGGTTGCTTTGGTGAGCTGCCAAATCATGTCTTCTCAGGGGAGTTTGGAAAATTTATAGAGGCTCAGTGACTTTTAGCTCCTTTTTTTTCGTTCGGGACTCCCTACAAAAGCTGCTATTACCTTGCTGTGCTCCAGCTGATCCTGCCTGGCTTTGTTCTGCTTCAT